GTGGGCGGGCTCCATTCCCTGAGCTGCGTTGCGCTGATGGCGCATGACAGCTGCCGGCGGTCGCCACCGGCCGTGGGCGGGCTCTAGCGGCTGCAGCGGCGGCGCGCCGCGTCATAATCGTCATCGGCGGCGGCGTTTTGTCGTCGTTTTCACTTTCTATGGCACGATTGATTACGCGGCGCCCGATGGAACCGGCTCGGCTTTCTCCGTGGCTGCTAGGCGCCTGCTCTCGGCGGCGACTGTTGGTGAGCGGCTTAGAGGCAATAACTCGGGAACCGCCCACAGTGCGTCGAGAGCCGCTCGCAGTAATTTGGAAACCACTGGACGTTGGTCGTCCCGACCCGTTGTTTCGTTATTTATGATGTTTATCTTTCGGCCCGCGACGCAGAGTCAGCTGAAATTGAATGCTCAGCGTTATCGTTCTTCTTTGTTATCTGTTCTGCTCATGGCCAGTGGAAGAAACGCAACTCAAACGTCTGACGTAGGGGTGTAGTCTCCTATTGAACTGGGGCTCCCCCCCCCCCCCAACTTGAGCTCCTGCCCCTCCCGCACCTTTGCAAAGAGAGCGGGCCAAAGTCGAGGGAAACCCTTTTGGTGGAGTATTTTTTGGGTAAGTTGTGTTATATTTTCCTCGCCTCCCTCTTCCCCAGCTCATTTTGTGAATTTACGCCCCTGTACCGGCTTACAACATTATTTCATCCATGACCAGTTCCGCACTGTCGCTACGTGCGATGGCGCTTGCCTACCCGGAGGACCACCCACCTCTATTTCGAATAGGACGCGCGTACAAAAACGACCCGTCCGGCGGGCGGCATCCCGCCGTTGCGCACCGCAGGCGGCGGGCCGGTCCGGCCGCGCGGCGGGAGGGGAGGGATCGGCCGCGGCCCGGGCGGCAGTCGGGGCTCGGTGGCGGCGCGAGGAGGGTGCGGGAGGGGACGCTCGGACGCTCGGAGGCTCGGACGCCGGCCGCTCGAACTGGGAACGAACAGCGGTCGGACGGCAGTCGGACAGGTCAGAGGCGGGTCACAGGCGGACCAACTGAGACCCATTGATGCAGCGCTTCGTTTTTTAAAGAAACTCGTTCTGCTTAGGTGACGCCGGCCCCAGAACCCAGGCTAAATAGAGCTTGTTGCTTGTACACTGAGCTCACCACCACCCACGTATTGCTACTCCGGGCTAGTTGACGTGCTTCGGTGCTAATCTGGGAGCAGAAGCAGTGGTGCATTTGCGACTCTGTCCTTAGGCACCGAACGCCGGGGATTTTCGTGAGATAGACAACAGTGTTCGTTATCCTCCGACAATGCGTGCGCCTGCCGGGGCGGGCGCGGCGCACCGCTCTGCCCAGCCGACATAAGGTCAAAAGTCAGCTCGCAAGCGAGCCAAAGGGGTCACCCCTGTCTCGGGCGAGCGTTTTCGGGCTACTGTGCGGCATGTGTAATCCTCGATGGTCCTGGCAGGCAGGCTACAGACAGCCTTATCCCATGAACTGGATCGGCCTACTCTGGGTGATGGGTTCAGGGAGTACGCAGCAATGGCACGATGAACTGAACCGGCGCTCTCTGGACGATGGGTTCAGGGAGCACGCAGCAATGGCCGCTTAACAAGCGCACTGACACACGAAACCATTAATGCAAAACATTGGAAGTAGACTTTGTTCTTCAAGATAACCTCTGAGTTGTGGGACAGCGAGACAATTCCTAGGTGGCGAGGGAGCAGTGGAACTGCGGGGGGCAGAGGGACCAAGTCAGGGGGTTATACGGGTTGCGTAGTGGGCGGGAGGAGCATAGTTGGGTGGTAAGGTCCGGCGGAATGTGAAACTACGTCACACATTCTCGATTTTCTTATTTTTTCTTGAAACCTGAAATTTTGAACCTGTCACGTTTTCGTCACGTGCATGTTAATAAACGCCATAAATTTGGTAAAGGAGGGGCACGTGCCCGTTGGTTATTATGTGCGCACACTGATACCGCTGTTAAACTCTACTACACTGCTACCACACTGATGCTTCACCCTCCACCAACGCGGTTCATTGTCCGAGATGTTCATTGTTCATAGTCCAGATGGTGTGAGCGTTAATGAGTGAGGCTGCAAGTTAGTGGGAATGCGGGCAACGTTGCAAGGATGATACGTGCGTCAACAGAGGTGGTTACCGTGGTGGACGCTCTAGTAAAATCGATGATAGATATTTTGTTTCCAGTCTTTTCGTCAGCAATTTAGCTTAAGAATATTTTTTTAAGTATTCCATTTCACACATCGCATGGTGATCACTGAATCAAGTTATGAAGAATATATGTTTCACACAGTACCGACCAAGCCAAAGGTACAACTTTATCCATATTCATTTATATACATCGTGAGGCAAGTCCATGCAGCGCGGCCATTTTGATCCTCGGGTCAGGGAAAAATAAAATAGTGAGACGAAAACTTTTGACTTCGGCTAGAAAAGAAAATGATGCATACACTCACTCATACACGATATAAGATAAGCGAAGTATTTTTTCGCGTTGTTAATACCCGGTTGACTCCTAACCACGTGGTTTTGCTTTCGCGCCTCGACCTTGAAGCGTGTTGCAGACCAGCGCACGGATGGCGGGGGACAAATCATTGAAAGCAGCCTTAAACCTCCGCCTTCCAGACTCGGATTGTATCGGACCTGGAATATCACCACTGGATATCCTGATCGCAATGCCATCAGGATATCCAGTTGTGCGTTGGTGAATATTATGCCTGGGAACAGGGTCGCGCTCGAGTAATGGGTTCTAATGTCAAAATTGTCTTAAGAACAACGAGGCCGTGATACAGGCAGATGTTCGTAGTTGATAGTCACCCAACTTCCCGCAGGCTATCACTGATGGCCAGAATTCCTTTGCCCAGAAGTAACGCTCGTTGCGGAGACGAGGAGCTTCTGCTGTCGGCCTAGTGGTGTGTTGTTGCTCGCTCCATTCGCAGTTATGCTGTTTAGCCCCTCTTTATTTAAAGTGAAGTGTAGAGTTTGGGATAATCACTTTCCCTTCTTTAGACTTGGTTAGACAATACGGAGACAATAGTCACACTATGGTCAATTGTCAGACAATTGTCTAACCAAAGCTGAAGAAGGGATAGCGATTATCTTCAAATACTCTCGTTTAGTACAAACAAGCTGGTTTAAATCTCAGCTTTTTTACATTTACGACTTCCCGGCTCAATAATATTTTGATACAGATCATGCCGAATGTTCTGGTGATTTAATTGACAATATATTAACATATATGCACGTATACATTCAACATTGTATGTTTCGCATATCAGCCTTCCTCATGAAGAATGAGATGGAGATCCTTAAATAGTGCTTGGTCGATCGGTGCAACATCTTGCGTGAGGCCCACCGCCATGCGGATGGGGTTAGAAGGCATGCATCTGATTGCTCAGCATCGTAGAGGTCAGCTGCGGCTCGGCGCGGTCCGTATCGGCTCCCGTATCGCTGCAGCACCCTGATTTATTGCCCCGTGGGCAGGTTTTCCTCGCCTGGGGCCGGCTTATCGCGCGGGGCAGGATCGAATGATCGGAACAGTCAGCGAGATCTTTCACGCCGCGATGGGGAGTGCTTTGAGCTGCGTAGATGCGAGCCCGCTCCGAGAGCATGGAGAGAAAGTGGACACGTTCAGTGTCAGGATAGCCGTGAGCGTTGCACAGCAGCGATGATGCATCAGTCCCTTGCCAGCATACCACCTACGTGTTACGTACGTCGAGACATCGTTGCCGCACCAGGTGAACTGTGCCTTCTTGCTACGCCACGCGGGGGATTTAGTGACGAATGGCCCAATGGAATAGTTTGAAATCGGGCAGTTCTTGTATGAAATACAATTATTTCTTTTGATTTTAAAGCGTGTTTAATTTTGTTCATTGACCTTCTCATCGGATGTTTGTTGATTCCGCTTCCCCGGGTTTAAGTTTCTTATTCAGCTGGGGAAGGGGATCTCTCCTGCCAACAGTTTTAGGAAGTGGACCAAATACGGAAACAACTTTGTTTCATATTTTGTAGTAGGTGTGGCTATTTTCAACTACTTCGAACGTCCAAGCTTATTTTCGGGAATTTCGCCCATGGCTGCCTTACCGCTGCACTCCAGTCAGCGCTGCTTGCCTGGAACTCTCCAGGGAAGACAGCATAAAACTCGAACCAACGCGCGTCCATTGCTCCGTTCAAGATGGTGTCAAATGATGCCATGTCAGTGGGCCATGAACAGTTCCAAATGCTACCTGGCTACTACATCATATCCAACAAACATGCATTTAGGTAATCTTCATGCATGCCATTGCGGTGTTCCTGGCCCACAACGCGATGACGTCTGTTTTAGATCGGGGGCTTTTCTACGCCGTCCGCCGTGACCGGCAGACCTGTCGGTCGGGATCTCTGAGTGTCTTAGCTCAGCTGACCTTATCTGTCGGCCGTGATCCCTGAGTGCCAAAGGTCGTCTGACCCTGTATGTCGGCCGTGATCTCCGAGTGTCTAAGCTCGTCTGACCCCGTCTGTCGGCCATGATCCCTGAGTGTCTTAGCTCGCCTGACCTTATCTGTCGCTCGTAATCCCCGGGTGTCTAAGCTCGTCTGACCCCGTCTGTCTGCCGTGATTCCTGAGTGTCTAAGCTCGTCCGACCCCGTCTGTCAGTCGTGATTCCGGATTGTCTAAGCTCGTCTGACCCCGTCTGTCGGCCGTGATCCCTGAGTGTCTAAGCTCGTCTGACGCCGTCTGTCGGCCGTGATCCCCGAGTGTCTTAGCTGGTCTGACTCCGTCTGTCGGCCGTGATCCCTGAGCAAGCTCGTCTGACTCTGCCTGTTGGCCGCGATCCCGGAGTGTCCTAACTTGTCTGACCCCGGCTGTCTACCGCGATTCCGGAGTGCCTTAGCTGATCTGAATTCGCCTGTCGGCCGTGATCCCTGAATGCCTTAGCTCATCTGACCTGGCCTGCCTGCCGTGATCCCAGAGTGTCTTCAGCTGTCTGACTCCGCCTGTCCGCCGGCAGACCTGTCTGCCGTGATTCCGGAGCCGGACTACTCGGACTCGGAGGAGGAGAGTCGGCCGGCCCGGTCCAGCTTCAGTGGCGGCATGGCCTCGGACGGAGCGCTGGTGCCGCGCCGGCTGTCGGCGCCGCTCCCGCCGGCCGCCGACCGCCAGCAGAAGCTGCACAGGGAGCTCGCCTTTAACCAGAAAATGTAAGTACGAGCAAGCAGGGGTGCACGGCCTGGTGGGAGATGGAGGCCTCGCCACCGGTACAGTCGGTATGTGGGCGGACACAGTTTTCCCGCCCATTGATGGACATCAGCCGTCGTCAGCGACCCTGGAGAGGGCCGAAAGTTGGACGGAGGCTATCAGACTGCCTCTTTGGGCATAGCTTGCCATACATCGCCACAGGGCTAGCGTTAAAGTCTTCAAAAGCTGAGGACCTCCGTCCTCCATCCCTCTCTTTCCACGAAGTGGAGCCTTTGTCCATCTCCGTTCACCTCGGCCCAAACGATCGCTGGAACGGAGCATAGCTAGCGCCCTCGCGCCTCCAATAAACAGCGAACGTTGGTTGTACCCAGTTCCCTACAAGTCAATAATGACTCAAGGTCGGCGTCGAAATAAAACGACCCGTTTAACCTACATCCTTCGCCGCGTCTGCGCCTAATCCACATGGCACGGCGCCGGCGGCGCGTCCGAGCCGAGCCGAGGCCACGCTGTGACTGGGTCGGTCGGCCACGGGCGCCGCGCCGGACGGCACTGGCCATCAGCGCCGCCCCACATCCGGTCCGCGACGGGCGGGCGCGGGCGGGCGCACCGGGCCGCGACAGAGGGCTGTAGGGGGGGGGGGGAGGGGGGCGCCCCGGGCCGCGACAGAGGGCCGTAGGGGGGGGGGGGCACCCCGGGCCGCGACAGAGGGCCGTAGGGATGGGGGCGGACCGCTGCGACACATCGCCGTCGTGCGGCGGACAGTGGAGAGGCTCCGCCACTGCCCGCAGCCGAAGCGCCGGGTGGTCTGTGCCGAGCTGGTGCCGACGCAGGGCGGGTCTTGACGGGGAAGGGTGGGATGCAGGGCAAGGCGAGGTGAAGCGAAGTGGCTCCAAACGCGTGGAACTGGCGTCCCGAAGTTAGAAACGATAACCCCTGTTTTCGTGGTATGCATCGTAAAGTTGGGTGGCGAGATTAGGTGTTAATCGGTGTTGTGGCTTCCTTTAAGTCTGGGAGCGTCAACCAGTAAACCTGAAAGCCTGACATCCCGCTTAAACCCCCTAAGATCCCCTAGCCGGCCAGAGGAGTCATGTAAACGAGCAGGAGGGCAACCCGTATCGAATCCAACCGTCGCCCAAAGTTCCAAACCGCCGTCTACACCTCCGATATCACCAAGTATTCGCGTGTACTCCTCAGCGGTAAGAACCTGTTGGGGCAGAAGAGCGAGCTGCAGCGAGCCATGGAGCGCCACCGCGAGCAGCGGGAGCGGCGCCAGCTGCAGGACCAGCTGCGAGACAACCGGACCAGCTTCGAGATCGCGCTGGAGGAGCGCATGTCACGCGCAGAGCCAAAGGCCAGTGTTTGCCACCCGGCCACCGCCGTGTGTTTGAGTCGCGTTTGCCCCATGTGATTCGGCTGACGGAGTCATCCACCAGCATAGATGGTCACGCCGCCAATACGGGCTGGGTCCATGGGAGGGCATGAGCCGGTGATGACACGGGGCACACTCGAACGTTCTGGGACGAGGGCACCGGGCGGCCCGAGAAAGAGAGCCGGAATTTCTGACACGAGTCTCGGCGCCGTCCGTCCCGCTCGGTCCGGCCGGCGCCGCCAGCAGCAGCGCCCGCTGGGGTCGCGCGGGGCGGCCGGCGCCACCCGGACCCGTGACGGCGCCGCTCCGGGCCGTCACGACAAGCCGTGACGCCGGGCGGCGTCCGTCGTCACCGCCGGGCGCGTGCCACGGCGGCGACACGGCGGCCGCCGCTTGTCGGGACGCTGACATAATCTGTGTACGAACGGGGCGTGTCGGGCCATGTGGCTTGGGGTCGTCCGGCCTCCGCCGCCGCCGGCGGTCCGTCGGGCCCGCCTCCAGGGAGCCGGGCTCCGCCGGCGCCCGGCGCTGGCCGGTTTGGACAGAGCCGCTGGCAAGCCTTACAGGGAGTCGAAATCTGCGGAAAGAGTGGGACACGCCGGAAACTGCGTCTCCGGTTTGTTGAATGCATCTCCTGGACATGGGCCGCCTCGAGGCTGGGCAGAGCTCCGCCGCTGACTTCAGTCGGGGATGTCGGCTCAGCTGATAACGAGTCTCCCCGTGCTTCCCCATGCGCCCGGAAGCTTGCTGACACGTCGTTTCTCGTCTCCAGGCGCAGGACGCGGCGCCACCCTCTGCTGACGTCACGCCCGAGTTCCTCCGCGTGCACGCGCGCATGCGGTCCAAGGTGAACGCGCCCTCCTGAATCCGGCGACAGGGCGGCCAGGTGTTGTGTCGTGTCATAGACTCGCGTCGCCGACCAGCGGCGATCCGACGAGGTCATCGGAGGTTCCGTGCACCAGCGGGCGGACCCCGCCAGCGACTGAGGGACCTGAAGCGCCCGAGGCGGAGCGGCGTTGCACGTGCACAGTCCAGTCACTGAGCCAGTCGTCTCGTGCCGGTCTGAGCAGACCGTCAGATGTGTATCGCGATCATCCGGCGCGTTGTAGGTGGTCAGGCCTGTTCTATGATTAAGCGGTAAATACTGTTTTATGAAGTGTTCTTTATTTCAGGATTGAGGACACGATGCCGATCCGCGCAATGCGGGGCGATCTTGGAGTATTGAGCGTATAGAAGGCACAGGTCGTAGAAACCCGTACTGCATTATCCGCACCTGAGTTTTATGTAAGATATGTACAAAGGTTCTATCAATAAACTGTTTTGTAAATAGACAAGGCATGCGAGACGGAGTGACGTAGCTTACCGCGCGACAAAAACTGGGAGCACGAGCTCATCGGAAGCACAATGATGCAAGGCATCCAAGGCAAGGCAAGGCAAGGCACCGCGTGCAAGTGTTCAACACCATCCGCATCTTGCGGAAGACCTGTGCATTTTACAGCCCCAAAGCTCTGTGCGTAAATACACCTCTCCCGTATGCATTTGGCGCTGGTGCATTTGGTGCGCGCCTGGCCTATCACACGATCACTGCCCGCCCGCTGAGCCCGCCGGGTGCGTCGCTCCAACGCTAAGCTACAGAACCGGCCATGGTCGTGACTCGAGAATGGCCAGGTTTGCGACCCACGACCGCCACGCCCTGGCCGCCCGAGCGGGTAGCACACAAGCACGCAGATACGGTCGCAGCCGGGCTGACAGGAGCACACGGCATCAGCCACCGGACCGCGGCCTGAAGGGATCGAAATGCTCTTCAGTCGTGCGTGGTGTGTGAGTTAGCGCACAATCCCCGCGGGGTCGGTGCGGGGTCAAGTCCTCCGTTCGTGAGACATGCATGTAGATCGTACCGCACATACGCGCGCCTCTCGAGGTTTGATAACTCCTGCCACCTGACGCAGCAATCCACCGCACCGCCCGACTGACGCACACTCGGACCCGTCCAGTCCAGTTCAGGCCGTCGAGGGATCCAGGCGAGCAGGGATTCGGGTGAGGAAGGGATCCAGACCCCACGAGAACGCTTCTTCGCCAGTTCTGCCGCCCTATCGCCAAGCAGTCGGAGCGCCCTATAATTCAAAGCACCTTTCTGAGTTCGTGAAAAAGACAGTGGGTCCTGTTATCCAAGGCAAAGCAATGGTGGCGACCAGCAGTTCCGCGCAAACGGCCACACGGCGGGATGAGCTCCTTACCTACCCTCCGTGATGGTATACGGCCAGGCGCAGGCCGCTGTCTTCGACATAATGTCCTGACCCCCCCCCCCCCCTGCCAGTATGACATAAAAAGCGAGACAAACACCACGGGTGACGTTTGCGAGCCCGCTCGCTCGTTAAGAATCTGCCACGCCAGCGTCACGACGATCCACCTTCCATCCTAAGCGAACTGTGGTAAACGATGCCTGTAGTGGCACGCGACGAAACGTTTAGCATGTCACAAGAAACAAAAGCGCATCATTTCAACATGCTGATAATAACACAAATGATCTCACAGTAGAACGACTGGCCGCTTACGCAAGCGATTTTCACACAGGTGTATCGGTGCCACTGGTTACCGTCCCAATTCCTTTCCCAACACTGCCACATCTCCGGCTCGGCTCTCTTTGGCGACTGCTGGTGTCGTCCCCTCCCCTCTCCTTCTGGACACCTCCCGGGACTCTCGGCCCACGTAGTGACGCCCGGCCGAGGTCAGCCGGGCGCCACGCGGCGGCGGACGGCCGGCCTGCCGCGCCTACATCAGCGACCGTTTGAGGGCACCGTTGACAGTCGGCAAACGCACCGACGCCGACTGCTTCATCTGGAACAGGGGCGTCCCGCGTCATCGGCACGCCGCAGCCCTGTGAACGATGGGAAAATACGGACCGGGGCCAAATGTGGTCAAAAGACTAGGACTCAACAAGCCACGGCATTGTCAGGAAACATGAATCGGCTGGGCGATCCGCTTGTGGAGCATCGGGCGGCGACTGTTCGTTGCCAGCAACGTTAACGCAGAAGAATTCAACGAAAGTACGCTCACGAACAACATAAAGCAAGGTCATCCGAGTTTTGCAATTCTGAATGATACAGTCTTCCCGCTTCGGCGAGTTTTGGCGACACCGCCCCTCCCCATCCGCCGCACTTTGTCGTCAGCTGCCTCAGCGCAGCCGGTGGTCGGTGCTGACAGCTGGAGCCGCCACTGAGCGCGCCGCACCTTCAGGTGGCTGTAGACGATGATGCCGAGCATGGTGAGACTGATGCCCATGATCTGGTTCAGCTGGAGGGGGTCGTGGAACACGATAAAGCCGGCCGCCACCGTCAGGCAGAACTTGGAGTGGCCGATCATGTTGTACGTGAGGGGGGACGTGTTGCCGATCAGCCAGTAGATACTCAGATTGATGACGAACGCCATGACGCACGAGCACACCACCAGCGCCTGGCGACAGGGTGCGGTGCGCAGGTGACTGGTCCTGGCGATGCCACGGAGGGGTCCTTCGCAGAGGGGAAGCAAAACGAAATGGTCATGTGGGACGCGGAGCCTGATTTGTCAGTGCATTTACGTGCATGCAGCCTCATCATTGTGATGGACAGACGGTGCCATGGTTTACAAGCAGGCACACAGTCGACACACACAGAGACGCACTAGACTCCTGAAAAGGTTCACTGCGGTCTCTCGCTGCGGTTTGTTCGCCATTCTCACCTTCATCTCAGACGCATGGCATCTGGGATGAAGGTGCCTCGTCTTAAATTATTGTATTTATCTAGGCCCGTTAAGTTATACGAGAGGCCTTCCTGTCTCGAAGGCCTCTCGTGTATGTAACTGTAGTATCGTCCGCTCTCACAGCCCGACCAAACACTAAGTCAGGTGTTACCGTGAGTATTCTCCCAATACCTCGGTAATAACAACAAAGCAATAATATAACGTCCGAGGCGTCCGAACACGTCGCGCCCCCGCCACGCGCCACCTTCTCAAGCCCAACTCTCTCGCGCAACTGCCACTTGCCTGGCGCGTAGGCGCCCTGCCGTACACCAACTGCCGTACACCACAGTAACGCCGGGCGCAAGACGTCGCCTTCCCACCCCACGCAAGGTAAAGCAATGCCGGCAGCCACAGACCGCAGACTTGATCGCCGCAGAAAGCCAGCCACAATGCTGCCCATAGCAAACCGAAACAAGCGCACGGCACTCGCCTCTACACAGCAAAATCAATGACGAATCGATCATGACGCAGCCGCAATCAGCTTATGCACACATACGTGATTTCCTCGGGGAGTGTAATCCGTTACACAGCACTATCTACATGTAGGAGTCCCCCCCCCCCCCCCCCCCTGTCCTCCGAGCCGTGCCATGCTAGCACACACCGTCGCCTGTTGATAAACGTGGCGCCATGCTCCGGCGCCGGCGGGTAAGCACTCGCTCGCCACGAAACTCACTGACAGAGCATACACACTCCGGAACGATAAGTCGCAGGTCCTATCCCACCTAATGACCGCAACGAATACACACACCGGACGGTGCGGGACCCCATTAACAGTCGAAACCAAACAACGACTCCGAAGACGTGACGGCCACCAGGGACGCGGTCGAGAGGGAGCTTTTTGGACATGCCACTCTCCCCCCAATCCCATATCCCACCCCGACCTCCCACCCCCAGCACAACCCCCAAAGGTAGCCAGGCCCCTCTGGGGTGCAAGGGCCTGGTACTTTGGGCAGCTTCGGACGCCTGTTTGCCTCCTAAAACATAAAAACTAGGTGTCCAAGGCAGGAAAATTGGACCCCAGCTTAAAATTAGGCCCTAGCCATAGGTAATTGGCCTTTCGTAATTTTCCTGCCAATAGCATTGAAAATAACAATCTACGCAAGGGTCACAGACCTCGGCCCCCTTTTACGCGCCTTTGGGAAGACACGGGCCGTAGCATTTCTCGCGAAAGTGACGCGCAAATCCTGTAACAGCATCAATCAGTCAGCACGATCTCCAGCTCCAGTTGCGTGCTGGCGTGCGCGCCCGACAGCCGGCTAACCCCCGGCACGGCGCTTGCGCGGCCCCCGCCCCTTGCACGGCAGCCGCAGGTCACGTGACACGCCTGGGTGGGATGGCGCCGCGGGCGGGCTAGATGTCGCTGCGTGTGTGCGTGCGTGTGTATAGCGTTGCAACATAGTCAGGCCCGAACTCACCGGTCAACTGCGACTTCCTTTTGGGTTTGGGGTTTTCTGTCGATTCTGCACGCAATAAATACGGCGAAGAAAACAAACTTAAAATGTTTTGTTCAAGGCGAAAGCCATGACAGATGCGCGACACCGCTACAGCCTGACGGAAATGGGGGATGGAACGGATCTCCTGAAGTGTTGGCCACGGATGTCGTCCTGCATTACGATGTGTGCGTATGGTATAAAGCACAATGCTGTGAAATACTAGATGCCGAAAACGATTCGACCAGGGTAAGAACAGACTGCACTCCGAGACAGGGCGTATTGAGCAATGGTCGACGGCGGGCTACGTGGATGGCTGCTCCCAACGGCAGTTTCAATCACCACTCGTTTACGCCGCGAAAGAGGCTGCCGCGAAAAAACGAGTGTCATCATTGAAGACCCACGATAATAATTAGGAACGGTCATAAAAAAGGTCGGACTATGCTTTCGCAATCGATGACAGTCATAGTCCAACTTTACTGCAATTACGCAATGCAGCAGCGCCCGTTTCGCAATGCAAACGATGCACATTACAAGGGAAGATCTTAACGTGAAATGACGAGCATGCAACATAATCAGCTTAGCTTAGCTCCGCTCGCTTAGAGACAGTGAGCGTCCGAACCTGGACGATATATGAGCAGCAACAGAGGGATTCGTCAATCAACGAATCGCTCACATGTTTACGGTAGGCCCAATCACTGACATCATCAGTATCGCTACATCCCACGTCCATTCTGCAAAACCGATGGAATGAAATCCGAGCCGCAGTCAATAAACTCCGACTCGGTGAGCGAATTATCGTTCGAGATGACCAATGGTAGTACACATCATCATTCTAGCAGCCACACCACTTTCACCCAACAAGCACAAAAAACGCCGCAAATCGATATTATAGCACAGTCAACAAAACCAAAGGAAGTTGCATGTTCTGCACAAACATTAAAAAACACATCATGCGGCAGCCGTTTCCAAGACGTGAATTGTATGAAGATAACCAGGTCCATAGACGTCTTGCTCGACATGGGGGTTTTCACTGCAGGCCTCCATTGTGACGAACCATTTGTTTCCTCGTGCGTGCGTGCGTGCGTGCGTGCGTGCGTGCGTGCGTGCGTGTGTGTGTGTGT